AAACCGCTTAAGGGTTCAGGATGATCGATCAGAATGCAATTATGACCGATCAGAATCAGTTATGATCGATCAGAATTGTTTCAATCGATTAAAACATGTTTCAATCGATTAAAACAACTTAGAAAAATTCTACACCGCGTTTTACTCGATTAAAACTTATTTTTATCAGTTAAAATAACTTGAAGAAATTCACAATAAAGTTTTGCAGTATTTCAATCGATTGAATCGCGAAACAATCGATTAAATCAACTTAGAAGATTTTTTGTAAAGTGTTTTAATTGATATAAACGTTGTCGTATCAGTTAAAACAAATCTGTTAAAGAATCAAGAACATATTAATGGATTAAAAGAAGTTTTAACGGATTAAAACTGCACTTTTAACAGATTAAAAGAATCTTTTAACAGATTAATTAATACAACAGTTTTGAAAATCTTCTATAAAAACAGAGTTGCTTGAACTTTTTACATATCAGTTTTTACACATCTTTGAGCAATCAATCAAGCAAACTTTAGCACTCTTTCAAGAAAGATTCGCGTCAGTGTTTGAGAAGTTCTTTGAAAATCTTTCTTGAGGCAACTTGCTTTCTTTTGAAGAAGAAACACACTGCAGAATTGCATAAACTGGTTTGAGCATTCTAGTTTCTTCTTTTTCATTTCTTAACATTCTTTTTGTATTGTTTGGTGCCTGGACTCGTTAACTCACTTTCCATTGATAGCATTACATTGACGATCCCAACATAGATGGAATTCTTCCGGCCCAGCAACGTCTCAGTTTCGCCGGTAAGCAGCTCGAGGACCCTCCGTCCCCGTGGTTGCTTAAAGATCATCGTCAAGACTCTCACCGGCAAGACCATCACCCTGGAGGTGGAGAATTTGGACACCATTACCCAGGACAAGGAGGAGGGAATTCCCCCGGACCAGCAGATATTGATCTTTGCTGGAAAACAGGCTGAGGATGGAAGGACCGCGGCTGAGGATGGAAGGACCGCGACTGAGGATGGAAGGACCGCGACTGAGGATAACATTCAAGAGGAATCTACCCCCCACCTGAGGTTGCATCTTCGTGGTGGTATGCAGATGATTCTGAAGCCCTTAAGTGATATCATTACATTTGAGGTTGACAGTTTGCATGCAAATGTCGAGGCCACGAAGCCTGTCAAGGAGGAGGGGTTAAATAGGGTGTTAAATAGTTTTTCACATTGGAATTGTTGTTGTTGTTGTTGTATATTGTTGTTCTTTGTCGCGTTTCTTTGTCTTTATTTGAAATAAGACTTCTAGTTTTCCAAAATAAAGATTTGTGATTTGTCTACCTGTAAAATCGCTGAGTAGATTTCTGATACCTTCAACTCCTGTACTTCAATAATATCTTTTTCCAAACGTTCAGACTCCTTCAATATTTCTCCTGTACTTCTTTAAGCTCAATCAACTGCATGGTGCTGGTATCATTAAGAAATTTAAATATGAGTCCTGATATTTTGACAACCCTATTGTAGAATTAAAAAGTATGCTATTCCTAGGGGAAAAATGAAATGGATTCCCAAAAATAATTCATGTCAAATAACCTAATTGGACCCAGTAACTATAAAGGGTACCAGAAAAATACTAAATTTGTTTTGCAGGAACAAAATCTGGGAGCCCCTTGGTATTCAACAGTAAATCAGGTTCTGTTTTCCTAAAACTGATTGTTTTAATTGATATAAAACAGTATTAATCGATTAAAATAACTTAAAAAGGATATCAGAAAATATGTTCGTACCATTTTAATCGATTGAAATATTGAAATAATCGATTAAAATGTTCTCAGGATTTAAGTTTAGCTGTTTTAATCGATTAAAATGAATTTATATCAACTAAAAACACTTAGATATCAAATTTAATCGATTCTTTTACGATTTAATCGATTCAAATTCTATTAGCATATTATTAATTTCATCCTGTACAAGAAACAATAGATTCCTTTATGAAATAATCGATTAATTCACTATAGCAGCTTCAAACCTAATATTAAAAGATCAAATTAATAGGTTAATTAGTTGGTTAATCGATTGATTTGTTTCTGAAAATTAGTTTTATAACATCCAAATAAAGATTGGTAAACAAATCAAATTCAAAATCCCAAGTTTTTATGATAATCAAAATCTGCATAATTCTTTTAAAAATTTCTTTGACCGAGTCAAACATATTCCCAAGATCAGTTTAGCTGATACACCCACTGGTCAGAAATCTGTGTTTTTGTTCTCAGTCAAGGGGACATACAATTAAAGCTGATTTTGCAGGCTCTGTCTAAAAGTAAACTGCAATTCACAAAAAGTGGAATCCGTGAAACTTCAGTTTACTCCCGTGTATCTCTTTACTCTCAGTATTCTCTTCCTGGTTCAAAATTTGTATCTGGTTCGTAGTTCTTCTCCCTACTTTCCCTTGTCCATACGTCTCAGAACCCCTTCTCTCGAAAATTCAAACAAGATGCTTGAGAAGATCTAAATCAAGAAAGAGGCGAAAGGAGAGTCTTCCTCAGCTGGAAATCGTGGAGGCCACCTTGAAAATTGGTTCGGTGGTGACAGAGATAGGATGATTAACTTCATCACTAATTTTAGTCAAAAGCGACTTGTTATGGATAAAAAGGGTCCCTCCTCATCTTTCTTTATTGCTTATTTCTTTTGATGCTTATTTTAAATTCCTGGGTCTGTAATATTTACTGGTTATATACCAGGCACATTATCTTTAGTTTTGATTAATATAATGTAGGGTTTAATTCGAATCAAACTAGCATAGATAGAATTCAACATAGATCCCTGAGAGTTTTAGCTGATACAAAATCGATTTAATTGATTAAATTGATTAAAGGAAACACTTTTCATAACAAAATAATCGATTAAAATCTTTATAAACTAGCTTACATCAGTTAAATTAGCTAAATAAGATTTTATTCTGATTTTGATGGATCTATTAGTTAAAATTTAATCGATGTAGTTGATATTATTGTTAAACATCCTTCTAGCTGATCAGTTTTACAAAATATCCACTAGATTAGGCATGATAAATTCGCATCAAACCTTTCTTAGTTTCCAAAACTGAGTGTTTTATTCAATAAAAAATCTTTTAAATCGATTAAAAGAATAAATACAACATTTTTCTTTACTGTTTTAATCGATTAAATGTCTAATTAATCGATTAAATGCACTTATGTTTCATATTTTCAAAGTCCTTTACTGTTTTAATCGATTAAACCTTTATTTCAATCGATTAAAATTATTAAACAAGAACTTTTTATTCGATTTTGTCCTGTTTTTAATCGATTCTTATTCTGCAAAGAAAAATTAAAGGCTTTAGTTAATGGTTGTTCTTGTAACATGATACTAAAGCGTGGTTCCCTTATCTTTACACGTATTAATTGTATTCATTACAAACATGTTAATGAAGATAAGTTTGAATCAACTTTGATTGGTCTTTACATGAGTAAAGAATCGTATTTTCATTTATTTCCAAAGACTCAAACATGTTAAATACCGTAACATTGTTTCTCTTCTGTTCCCTATTTTTGATGAAGTCAAAAGGGGGAGAAATAGTTGCTTTACTTTAGATCAATTTAGAGGGAGAAATAAACTCTTAATTTAGGGGAGCAACAATTTAGGGGGAGAAATAGGAAAACAATTCTTTTTTGATTTTTTCACTAATCTGTATTATCAAGTGACTTCTCTTGCAGAATTTTTTTCAAAGTGGTGTTTGTCTTCATCAAATAGGGGGAGACTGAAAGTGATGAAGATCTTATTGAGATAACTTTCGCAAAGATCTCATTGATTTGATGAAGTCAAAGATAAAGTCAAAAGCAACTTTGCAGTGGTCAACAAGTCACTTAGATAAAAGAATAAAAGGATTAGTATGTCTACAGAGTTGCTTAGGTAAAATCATTTTATCTTTTCTGCTGCATGAGGTTTCTTCAGTTAAAAGATTTTGCAAAATGCCTCTAAAAATGTTTTAAACAGTTAAGAACAAAGTATTTTGACAAAAGCTTTTTTAAACAAAGTTTTAACTGATACAGTTTTGAAATAACCGATTAAAATTAGTCAAAATGTTAAAACAAGTATTTTTTCAGTATTTTAATCGATACAACTTGATTTTAATTGATTAAATCCACTTTGAACCCATTATGATCGATCAGAATACAAATATGACCGATCACAATCAGATATGATCGATCAGAATTGAATTATGACCGATCAGAACTTTTTCAATCGATTAAAACATGTTTCAATCGATTAAAACCGCTTAAGGGTTCAGGATGATCGATCAGAATGCAATTATGACCGATCAGAATCAATTATGATCGATCAGAATTGTTTCAATCGATTAAAACACGTTTCAATCGATTAAAACAACTTAGAAAAATTCTACACCGCGTTTTAATCGATTAAAACTTATTTTTATCAGTTAAAATAACTTGAAGAAATTCACAATAAAGTTTTGCAGTATTTCAATCGATTGAATCGCGAAACAATTCGATTAAATCAACTTAGAAGATTTTTTGTAAAGTGTTTTAATTGATATAAACGTTGTCGTATCAGTTAAAACAAATCTGTTGAAGAATCAAGAACATATTAATGGATTAAAAGAAGTTTTAACGGATTAAAACTGCACTTTAACAGATTAAAAGAATCTTTTAACAGATTAATTAATACAGCAGTTTTGAAAATCTTCTATAAAAACAGAGTTGCTTGAACTTTTTACATATCAGTTTTTACACATCTTTGAGCAATCAATCAAGCAAACTTTAGCACTCTTTCAAGAAAGATTCGCGTCAGTTTTTGAGAAGTTCTTTGAAAATCTTTCTTGAGGCAACTTGCTTTCTTTTGAAGAAGAAACACACTGCAGAATTGCATAAACTGGTTTGAGCATTCTAGTTTCTTCTTTTTCATTTCTTAACATTCTTTTTGTATTGTTTGGTGCCTGGACTCGTTAACTCACTTTCCATTGATAGCATTACATTGACGATCCCAACATAGATGAAATTCTTCCGGCCCAGCAACGTCTCAGTTTCGCCAGTAAGCAGCTCGAGGACCCTCCGTCCCCGTGGTTGCTTAAAGATCATCGTCAAGACTCTCACCGGCAAGACCATCACCCTGGAGGTGGAGAATTTGGACACCATTACCCAGGACAAGGAGGAGGGAATTCCCCCGGACCAGTAGATATTGATCTTTGCTGGCAAACAGGGTGAGGATGGAAGGACCGCGGCTGAGGATGGAAGGACCGCGACTGAGGATGGAAGGACCGCGACTGAGGATAACATTCAGGAGGAATCTACCCCCCACCTGAGGTTGCGTCTTCGTGGTGGTATGCAGATGATTCTGAAGCCCTTAAGTGATATCATTACATTTGAGGTTGAGAGTTTGCATGCAAATGTCGAGGCCACGAAGCCTGTCAAGGAGGAGGGGTTAAATAGGGTGTTAAATAGTTTTTCACATTGGAATTGTTGTTGTTGTTGTTGTATATCGTTGTTCTTTGTCGCGTTTCTTTGTCTTTATTTCAAATAAGACTTCTAGTTTTCCAAAATAAAGATTTGTGATTTGTCTACCTGTAAAATCGCTGAGTAGATTTCTGATACCTTCAACTCTTGTACTTCAATAATATCTTTTTCCAAACGTTCAGACTCCTTCAATATTTCTCCTGTACTTCTTTAAGCTCAATCAACTGCATGGTGCTGGTATCATTAAGAAATTTAAATATGAGTCCTGATATTTTGACAACCCATTTTAAACATTCGTTCAACAACCCAATAAAAAAATAATAAATGTACAGTGTTACTGAATAAAAAAATATTAAATGTACAGTGTTTTTATTATTAAATAATTCATTCCCTTGCCCATCTCTCCTTCTTCTCCGATTCTCATTTTTCTAGCACAGAACTTTCTCATTCCTTCCTCGACCTCGACCTTCCTCACGCGGTTGTGAACTTGCCCAATTTGTCAGTCAAACTCACTCACTCACTCACCACCGCATATATACCAAATTTGTTTCATGCAAATTTTAGTTTTAATTTGTGAAATTTTGAATTGTTTTCTATAATTTTGTGAATATATATTGTATGCTGGCTGGATTTTGTTTCATATTTATTTGAAATATACCCTGAAATTGTGGTGTATCAGGTACAAATTATGAGAAAAAAGAATTGGCATATCAAATTTTAAATAATTTTTTTTTTAAATTGGGACTTTACATAGCGGTTCCCAGAACCTCTATCTAAACCTACTAAAGAGAGCGGTTCTATAACTAACTGCTATTAAAAGTGTATTTAAGATAGCGGTTAACTGAAACCGCTATTATATGTTCACTTTTAAGAGCGGTCAAAATATTAACCGCTCTTAAAACTTAAATATATGATAGCGGTTCCACTTTAACCGCTCTTAAAAGTGAATCAGATATTAGTGTCGCTCAAGCGAAATACAACCCGAGAATCCAAATTTTTTGCAGGCGGTGTCGCTCGAGCGACGTGAATTTAGCTTGAGCGAATGTTGACCTGGGGATAAACATCGATCAAAGTTAGCTGCATCATGTAACATGGGTGACCACATGTTTGAATCGGATATCGCTCGAGCGAGATTAGTGTCGCTCAAGCGAAACACAACCCGAGAATCCCTAATCTTAGCAGGTGGCTTCGCTCGAGCGATGTTAGTTTCGCTTGAGCGAGATTAGAAAAAGCAGATAAAATGATCGATTATTTTAGGTTATAATTGATTATACGTTATGATGATCGATTATAAGTGGTATATGATCGGTTATATTATGCTAATAGATTATAATATTAATTTATCTGTCATAATTAAATGTTAGCGACAATAAAGTCGCTCAAGCGGACCTTACGTGTAACCTAAAGGCAAAATCAGTGAGCGACGCCGACAGTCACCTGTTTCACATCTGATCGATAGAAGCACTGACGTTGAAGAAATTTGTTGATTGTTACCTTCTTCTCGCCATCAATCTCCTCCATTATCATTATCTATCGGAGATCCTTTTCCTAAGCTGCATTTTTACGGTTCAAATAAGTGCATTCTTCTCGTTTTGTGCCTATGTTCATGTTAGTCTACAATTTTCATGAATTTTTTGCTGAATAATTGGTTCTTTTCCAAAATTCCTCTAAAAATGTTTTAAACAGTTAAGAACAAAGTACTTTGACAAAAGCTTTTTTAAACAAGTTTTTAACTGATACAGTTTTGAAATAACCGATTAAAATTAGTCAAAATGTTAAAACAAGTGTTTTTCAGTATTTTAATCGATACAACTTGATTTTAATCGATTAAATCCACTTAGAACCCATTATGATCGATCATAATACAAATATGACCGATCAGAATCAGATGTGATCGATCAGAATTGAGTTATGACCGATCAGAACCTTTTCAATCGATTAAAACCACTTAAGGGTTCAGGATGATCGATCAGAATGCAATTATGACCGATCGGAATCAGTTATGATCGATCAGAATTGAGTTATGACCGATCAGAATTGTTTCAATCGATTAAAACACGTTTCAATCGATTAAAACAACTTAGAAAAATTCTACACAGCGTTTTAATCGATTAAAACTTATTTTTATCAGTTAAAATAACTTGAAGAAATTCACAATAAAGTTTTGCAGTATTTCAATCGATTGAATCGCGAAATAATCGATTAAATCAACCTAGAAGATTTTTTGTAAAGTGTTTTAATTGATATAAACGTTGTCGAATCAGTTAAAACAAATCTGTTAAAGAATCAAGAACATATTAATGGATTAAAAGAAGTTTTAACGGATTATAAGGGAGCGGTTATAAAAAGCCGCTATTATAAACATACTTTAGACAGCGGTTTACGACTAACCGCTATCTAATATATATTTTTAAAAGCGGTTCTTATTAACCGCTATATAAGGTCGCTGAAAACAATGGGGACATTTCGCCGCCGTCCGTTCCGACGTCCAGGGACATCTCGAACGTTAATGCGAGCGGTTGCGAAAAGATGGCTGAGACTCGCGTTTTTGTTAAAAATATGTTCATTGCTTCCGAGGCGCTCAACACTGAACTATCCTCTAACAGAAGCAAGGTTTTCGAAAAGGGTTCTTTTGGAGTCGCCACCAATGTTTTGACCATAAACATTGGAAAAGGAGAAAAAGGCATTGATTTTAATAAAAACCAACTTGACCATTATAACCAGAGTCGGGTAAGGGAGTTAGTTACGTGTGGGGAAGGTATTAGCACCCCACAACGCCCCTTTCGGGTTCCCTATGACGGATTAATTCATTTAAGTAAAGATTACAAGAAATTACACTATTACCCTATTTTATTCGTACAGTATTTAAATATGGCTATCTACATGGTTTTATCTACATTGCATACAGAAAGCAGTAAATAAAGCAGTAAAAGGGAAGAGAATTGAGAAGAACCTCCGAAGCAAGCTTTATATTATAAGTCTTTTATACAGAGGACGCTTTGCGGCAATCCTTCACTCTACAATGACTCTCCTCTCGAATAAACTCGACTCGACTAAAACTTTCTAGAAGAATCGAATGCCAGAATACAAATTCCTTAACTGATTGTTACCTATTAAAGGCAATCAGAGAGATCATTCGAAGGAGGGAGAGAAGAAGACAAGTCTTGGAGTTGTCTGGGGTGTGGAGAATGACCTAAGAGCCTCTTATTTATAGCCTTTTTCGCCTGGAAATCTGGGACAGTCGTCACTGGGCCAAGCTGGGACGGCCAGGTGGGTTTGGGACGGTCGTCCCATTTGAAATTTAGGGTTTGGGACGTGCGTCCCAAAGGTGAGACGTGCATCTCACTTGAGTTTTGGCGTTTGGGACGGCCGTCCCAGTTTGGGACGGCTGTCCCAACCTGTCTTGGCCTATCTTCGCGTTCTGGGACCCCTGGGAAGCTTTCCTTTCCTTTTTCGGACGTCGTTTGATGCCGTTGTTTGTCCGTTGAAGCTTTATCTTCATATAGGAAGTCTTCTTGGCCTTCATTAAGATGTCGGGCGAGCTTTATCTTCGTGTAAGAAGTCTCTTTAGTCTTTATTGTGTGAATGGGTGAACTCCGTCTTTGTTGCGGGAGGTCTTTCTCGGTTTTTCTTTGATATGAAGCCGGGTGAACTGTATGAAGCTTCCCTAGCTTTTATTATTTGAGAGACCGAGCAAAATTAGGGGTCTACAGCTGCCCCCCCTTCACCTGCCTAACTAATTTGTTGGTTTTAATATACCGACAAAGTTATTCGGCAGGGGAAGGAGTTAACCCTTTTGCCCGGTTATCCTTCGGATGCTGCTTCTTTGCTGATCCTCCAGATGATAAATATTTTGATAGGTACCAACCCCTATCCGGTTTGAGCCTTCTTTTATAAAGCTCTGGTGAGTACTTACCCTCACCCGGTATAAGTCTGTATTTTACTAGACTTTTGTGGGTACCTACCCCCACTAGGTATGAACCTTGTTCTACAAGGTTTTGGTGAGTACCTACCCTCACCTGGTATGAGTTCGCATTTCGCTAAATTCTTGTGGGTACTTACTTCCGAGGTGCTCATCACTGAACTATCCTCTAATAGAAGCAAGTCTTTGTACCCGTTTTTAGAAATGCTTCTAGTGAGTATTTTTACTCTACCCGATGCATTTTGCTAAGTTTTGATGAGTATCTACCCTCATCTGGTACAAAACCTTATTTTTAAGGTTTTGGTGGGTACCTACCCCCACCCGGTACGAATCTGCATTTTTGCTAGATTCTGATGAGTACTTACCCTCATCCGGTACGGACCTTATTTTTAAGGTTTTGGTGGGTACCTACCCCCACCTGGTACGAATCTACATTTTGACAGATTCTAGTGGTTTTTACACCCCCACTGGGTGCGAGTCTGCATCTTGACGGACTCTAGTGGTTTTTACACCCTCACTGGGTGCGAACCTGCATCTTGACAAGGTTCTAGTGGTTTTTACACCCCCACTGGGTGCGAACCTGCATCTTGACAAGGTTCTAGTGGTTTTTACACCCCCACTGGGTGCGAACCTGCATCTTGACAAGGCTCTAGTGGTTTTTACACCCCCACTGGGTGCGAACCTGCATCTTGACAAGGCTCTAGTGGTTTTTTACACCCCCACTGGGTGCGAACCTGCATCTTGACAAGGCTCTAGTGGTTTTTACACCCCCACTGGGTGCGAACCTGCATCTTGACAAGGCTCTAGTGGTTTTTTACACCCCCACTGGGGGTGCGAACCTGCATCTTGACAAGGCTCTAGTGGTTTTTTGCACCCCCACTGGGTGCGAACCTGCATCTTGACAAGGCTCTAGTGGTTTTTACACCCCCACTGGGTGCGAACCTGCATCTTGACAAGGCTCTAGTGGTTTTTACACCCCCACTGGGTGCGAACCTGCATCTTGACAAGGTTCTAGTGGTTTTTACACCTCCACTGGGTGCGAACCTGCATCTTGACAAGGTTCTAGTGGTTTTTACACCCCCACTGGGTGCGAACCTGCATCTTGACAAGGCTCTAGTGGTTTTTACACCCCCACTGGGTGCGAACCTGCATCTTGACAAGGCTCTAGTGGTTTTTACACCCCCACTGGGTGCGAACCTGCATCTTGACAAGGCTGTTCTCATTCAATCTTTTGATTGATGAGTTCATACCCTTAACGGGCTTTTGGAGAAGTGTTGGCGGCTTACTGTCTTTGATCATGCGCCTATTCCTTGGGGAATGATTTGGTTTTTTTACCTTGACTTTTTA